TTTTTTTTGTATACAGTGCTTTCGATTCATTGCTTTGTCGTCAAAATCACACACCCAACAAGCCCTAACACTTTGTAGTGCTTTCCGCGACTACCCTTGAACTTCTTCTGTAGGCTTGTCTCGACGATGTGGCCTTCTCCTCCTATCTACAAACATATACTATTAGAGAGCATACAGTACAGCATCACAATAATATTTTGCCGTTAAATTGGCCGTTTAGGAGCTCATTGGTGCATAAAACAAGACACGCCGCGTACCAGTCAGACATTGTTTTTTTCGCCCACCTTGGTCATATGAGCTTCTTGAGGGTATGACGCCTTCATTCATGAAATGTAGGGCTCGGGGAAGGTGATCTTCATCTTTGCGTGTCATAATCTCGCAAAGTTGCTGTGTTGTTCTTAATTCCTATTTGCACGCCGCTTTTCCTGCAATATGCTCTCTGACGTGGAGCTTTGTCGTCTCGGAGCACTGCGTGCAGAGCATAGTGCGGTCAAGCAGCTCAGCATCCATCGCCCACGAGACTCTCTTTGAAAAACGTCCATGGGACCTCTTTGATTGCCTTTTGTAGAGTATCTACGCGTTTGGTAGCGCGGTTGCGCTTCGACACCACATAGGTTTGCCCCGCAGTAGAAGCATCACAAGCAGGTCGCTTGCTGGGCGGCGACGTGAGTCTCCTTCGACTGACCTTGAAGCTATCTCGGAGGATGTGAGGTTGCTCAACACCAAAACATGGGGATTTGTTGTAACTCCCTGGCATCCGACTCGAGACGCTCCTGATTACGAGCTATTGGAGGGTCATTGGGGGGATACCATGATGGTAGGCATGAGTTGGCGTGATTTGCGTGACTTTCCTTGTCTGGAGGCACTCGTACTGCTCGAGGTACCCCTGGGCGTCATGGCACCGGTCGTCGTAGATAGCAGCGGGTCGCTTACGGAAGCGTCGAATCCAAGCATCGAAGGTGCGGGACTTGGATCTTGTAGACTAAGTCTCCCTTGGACGAGATCAAATCACCAAGGTAGCGCCATTGGGCCCAGAACTCGTCATTACGGTTCCTAGAGGCTCGAGAGACGATACATGTCCCTCCGCCCCATTGTCCTGAGTAGTAGCTGGAGAGTGGTTTTGTGCATACTGGGTTATGGCGTCGGTCTCCAGACCCCCATCTCCTGGCTTTCAATAGAGCCGGCGATATCCAGGTCTCCATCCTGGACGACGACTTCCTGTGACTCTCCGTCACCCAATTCTGTCTCCTCCCTTGTTCCACGAGTATCTCTGAGTAGATTTGGATCACTTTTTTTTTACCACCTTCTTCTCCACCATGAGAATCACTCACACCACTCGCATTCTTGAGCTTGTGCTGCAGCTCGTGCGCCCACAATACAGGCTTTATCTTCGATGGCAGCTGCCAGCTAACATCTGAAGATTTTTCTTCGAGTAGAGGTTTTTGAATTTCATCCTTAGCGAGTCGAAATCTCGTTCATCCTAGCCTTGATGTCTTTCAGCATTGCAGAACTGGGTAACCTTCTCCCTCATGTGACCAAAGGGCAGAATTGTTTTGACGACTGAGCAAAGCAGGAGCTGCTCATTGACCGAGTAGTTCGAATATCCGTTACAGCGATAACACAGCGATGCATGGCGAGCACAAATGCCAGTACAGCATGTAGGGCTCTTGAATAAAAGCCTCACATACTCTCAAAATCTCCCTGAAATCTGCAAGATCCACAAATGAAGAAAACGAAAAGCAACGCATAAAAAACTTGCGTAAGGAGCGTCTGTATGTACGTATATAAGGAAAGATTCGTTTAAAACCTCAGATTGACACTAGCGACCTTTCTCAACTAGCAAACCGAACTCTTTTTACTTAACTTGCTCTCTCAGCCTATTTTGGCGACGGTAACGGAGAAGGGTCAAAATGTAGACTTCTAATGTATCGATATATCCTGCAGAGCCGCAGTGAGCATCGCAGAGCTGTTTAATAAAGAAAAGTCGTACAAGGATTGTGCTTCGTGACACGAAGCAATTACAGAG